GTTTTAAATTTCAAGTAAAATTATATTTCATTTTATTAATTTTATTATTTTTTTTTTTTTTTGTTTTGAAACTTCGTCTTATAATTACGTTTAATTTTAAAACTTTAATCTTGGAAATTTTGGGGGGGTGCGGATGACATTTTGAAGTTGAGAGTAAAGCTGCATGTGTCAGCGTAGTGTATTACCTTGTTGTCAACTTATGTGTTGTAGACTTACTGATAACTGCTAGGGATAGCTCGAGAAAGACACGCGTTATTTGATAAAAAATTACATAAAAAATGTGTGATCACGTTAGTGGAGTGGGGGAAAAAAAAAAAAGAAAAAAAGAGCTACAAAACTGAATGTGTGGTCTTAATAATTTGTGGCATCGTTATTGTTGAAAAATAACGACATTGATTCTTAATTTGGTGTCCTTGCGTCATGCAGGGGCTCGTAAACATCGCAAAGGATTTTGGTGACACATTCCATGATGAAACCGCGAACAGAAATTGCGCAACAACAAAAAACACAACAAACAAAACAAAACAAAAAAACAACGCGCAGTCATAACTGCTCACACGGTCAACTGCTCACACGGTCAGCTGCTCACACGGTCAACTGCTCATACGGTCAGCTGCTCACACGGTCAGCTGCTCACACGGTCAGCTGCTCACACGGTCAGCTGCTCACACGGACAACTGATTACACAAACAACTGCTCAGACAGGTGTCTGCTCACACAGATAACTGCTAACACTACAGTACAGACAAGTTCACACAAAGACCAATGGAGAAAAAACTGCTTTCTCAGACTACTGCAAACACACACACACACACAATGTTGCAAACATAAAATGACACACACATTCGATAGATTGAGGACATTTCAGTAGACAAAATTTGGTTTTTAAAACGCAAGATTTAATCATACACATTGAAACAATGATTGTCACACCAAGGTATACGGCATCTTCTTTACACTGTCACAACAAGGTATATGGCATCTTCTTTACACTGTCACACCAAGGTAAACGGCATCTTCTTTACACTGTCACACCAAGGTATACGGCATCTTCTTGACACTGTCACACCAAGGTAAACGGCATCTTCTTGACACTGTCCCACCAAGGTGTACGGCATCTTCTTTACACTGTCACACCAAGGTATACGGCATCTTCTTTACACTGTCACTAATCCAAACAACTACCCAAAGCCAACAACAAAACGAGGTCACCAGGTACGCAGTCATAAACAAATCCGCCTGGCAACAAAGGCTCTAGAACCTGACGCCACAACACAACACAACAGCTTAAAGCGCCGATAAGCTAAGCCTGACGTGTAATCGGAATTGACATAAATTCCGTAAGAAAGTAATATCAGCATGAATGATAAAAAAAAAAAAATAACACCTAGGTCAGCTGTACTGTTGGAGGTCATGAACTTTGGCCTAGATAACCCATTGATCCTCGCGGGTCATTCAAGTGCATTTTGCATTGAAATTTGACCTTGACCCCCTTTTTGACAGCGTATCACAGCTCCTACAAGCGTACACATACATTTGAAATCGTTTAAAAGATAGACATCCAACTTTGAGAGTGAACTACAAAAAATGTAAGCTAAAAAAAAAAGGAATTTTTAAATCTTCCAAATTGAAATGCTAAATAATACTAAGTCAATGACTCCTCTATTTGTACAATCATATTTCCTCACGCACCCTGGAATGCTCCCAGTTACCCCCCCCCCCCCCCCCCCCAATTAAAAACCACAACACATGTACCATAAATCTGCGTGAGCCACGGCACCGGTGCCAACTGTGGAGCTAGTGGGTAGAGCTGACACAGCTGGTGTCCTCTTGAAGGTACATCAGCCTCATAAGGTATGCTTTGCATGTCTCCAGCGTGCTGCCAGAGTCTTACTAGAGAACTTTATTCCTGCATTCATTGAAGCCGTGGTTGCTCCTGTGTCATAGTTTGCACCAAGGTGTCTTTCTATTATAGTGTTTTCATACAGGGTGGGCCAATAAAAGTGAGAACATTTCGTAGCGTAATATTTTATGAGATGTTCTCACTTTTTTGGCCCACCCTGTAGATCTATTATAGTGTTTTCATAGATCTATTAAAGGTTTTTCATAGATCTATTAAAGTGTTTTCATAGATCTATTAAAGTGTTTTCATAGATTTATTATAGTGTTTTCATAGATCTATTACAGTGTTTTCATAGATCTATTACAGTGTTTTCATAGATCTATTATAGTGTTATCATAGATCTATTATAGTGTTTTCATAGATCTATTAAAGTGTTTTCATAGATTTATTGTAGTGCTTTCATAGAATACTGTTTTCATAATCTATTATACTGCTCTCATAGATCTCTTATAGTGTTTTCATAGATCTAATCTAAGTTGTGTATGTATATAGGCCCTCTATATACATATAATATGTATAATCCTTTTTACTCTATAAAGCTTAAGCTATCAATTTGTTCAATTGCACTTTCATACTTCTGTTTGCTGTCACGTTCACATGTCAAAACCAGTTGACTTTCGTCGTTTCTTGTTATCGCATGTCCTTTCGTGGCGCATGGACATGGGTAGGCCTATTGTCGACCCTGGTCACAGTTTAAAATTTCAAGGAAAATTATATTACATTTTATTAATTTTATTATTTTTTTTTTTTTTGTTTTGAAACTTCGTCTTATAATTACGTTTAATTTTAAAACTTTAATCTTGGAAATTTTGGGGGGGTGGGGATGACATTTTGAAGTTGAGAGTAAAGCTGCATGTGTCAGCGTAGTGTATTACCTTGTTGTCAACTTATGTGTTGTAGACTTACTGATAACTGCTAGGGATAGCTCGAGAAAGACACGCGTTATTTGATAAAAAATTACATAAAAAATGTGTGATCACGTTAGTGGAGTGGGGGAAAAAAAAAAAAGAAAAAAAGAGCTACAAAACTGAATGTGTGGTCTTAATAATTTGTGGCATCGTTATTGTTGAAAAATAACGACATTGATTCTTAATTTGGTGTCCTTGCGTCATGCAGGGGCTCGTAAACATCGCAAAGGATTTTGGTGACACATTCCATGATGAAACCGCGAACAGAAATTGCGCAACAACAAAAAACACAACAAACAAAACAAAACAAAAAAACAACGCGCAGTCATAACTGCTCACACGGTCAACTGCTCACACGGTCAGCTGCTCACACGGTCAACTGCTCATACGGTCAGCTGCTCACACGGTCAGCTGCTCACACGGTCAGCTGCTCACACGGTCAGCTGCTCACACGGACAACTGATTACACAAACAACTGCTCAGACAGGTGTCTGCTCACACAGATAACTGCTAACACTACAGTACAGACAAGTTCACACAAAGACCAATGGAGAAAAAACTGCTTTCTCAGACTACTGCAAACACACACACACACACAATGTTGCAAACATAAAATGACACACACATTCGATAGATTGAGGACATTTCAGTAGACAAAATTTGGTTTTTAAAACGCAAGATTTAATCATACACATTGAAACAATGATTGTCACACCAAGGTATACGGCATCTTCTTTACACTGTCACAACAAGGTATATGGCATCTTCTTTACACTGTCACACCAAGGTAAACGGCATCTTCTTTACACTGTCACACCAAGGTATACGGCATCTTCTTGACACTGTCACACCAAGGTAAACGGCATCTTCTTGACACTGTCCCACCAAGGTGTACGGCATCTTCTTTACACTGTCACACCAAGGTATACGGCATCTTCTTTACACTGTCACTAATCCAAACAACTACCCAAAGCCAACAACAAAACGAGGTCACCAGGTACGCAGTCATAAACAAATCCGCCTGGCAACAAAGGCTCTAGAACCTGACGCCACAACACAACACAACAGCTTAAAGCGCCGATAAGCTAAGCCTGACGTGTAATCGGAATTGACATAAATTCCGTAAGAAAGTAATATCAGCATGAATGATAAAAAAAAAAAAATAACACCTAGGTCAGCTGTACTGTTGGAGGTCATGAACTTTGGCCTAGATAACCCATTGATCCTCGCGGGTCATTCAAGTGCATTTTGCATTGAAATTTGACCTTGACCCCCTTTTTGACAGCGTATCACAGCTCCTACAAGCGTACNCCCCCCCCTGAATGCCCCCCCTTCCCCCCCCCCCCCCCCCCTCAACCTTGGGGTTTTGAGAACACAAGTTTAGGAAACAATAATAAAAATGGTTGCCTGTTAGATTCAATATTTTAACTGATCATTCCAGATGTAGTCAACACTGAGAAAGGACATCCCCCCCCTCCCGGCCCAGTCATTAGTGTGGTGATTTAAAAGTGTTTAAACATTATGAGTTGTTATGTGTCTGCCATCAATGCCCTCCAGTTAGCAAGGCTCCAGTATTTACAGTTACAGTGCCTTGGGACTTCAAAAAATTTGGTGTCATTTTTTTCCCCCTTTGCTACTGATGTAACCTACTAAAAAATACGTTTCTTAACTGTTACATTTAAAACATAAATTAATTGTTTAATATAGAAAAATTGTCCATTATGAGTTAGTTTATCGCGACACAGAGGGCATCTTTAATTAACAGTTTAAAAGCATGGACAAGATGGCTTATACCTCCCGTTTCACACCCCAACCCCCAATCAAATCTTCTCAAAATCCTGATATGAACATAGCCTAAATTAATTTTTAAAAATGAGCGATTGTAAAATGTTTTTTAAATTTTTTTTATTATTATTATATTTCTGTTCTAAAAATAGCCATTATAAATGTTTGAAAAATTAGTCATTTACAATGTCTGGAGTTCGACAATCATGGTCACATGAGCAATACGTGAGGCGTTGTGTCCTAAAGGTCAAATGACTCTGGCAATATGACTTCAACCTTCAAGTGTCGCGACATAATTGAATCACGTTTGTAATTTAAAAATCATCATAAATCAACCTTGGAAACATCAAACAGATAAAAATATACCAATAAAAACAAATATTGATGAAGATCTACCGGGTTGGTGGTTGTGTTACCCACGTGAAGTCGTAGCGATAATTTATTTATTCATAGAACACCACCATCACAAGAGTGTTTCACAGCGTCAAGCGATCTAATCACTACACGCACTGAGTCAGGAAATCATCAACTTATCGGATATTCCCCAATTAAGCTGTAGGAATGATCTCTAAGGCCAGACGAAAGCGTTCCTTGATTTCATTTGCATTCTCATCAATGAAGGCTACGACTCGTCGCAGGATCCCTAAAGATATAATGCTAAGATCACAAGATGGATTGGTTATCCACTATCGCTACATCTATGCATTTCTGATGCCGTTTTCGATAGTAACCCAACCTTTTTGGAGCACAACACGTTCACACGAATTTACATGATCTGCGTAAGACAACACCGTCGGGGAAATGGCTAAAAAATACGATGGTGTTCAAAGAGAAAGCACGAGAAGGACTGAGCAATCAGGTAGGCGACACTATCAGTTTTATTCACGAATGTCATGTTAGGATTGTATTATCGGGACCACAGTCGAATATGCTGTGTACAAGAAGGAATGGGAATTTCGGAAATGATATGGCAGTTTCAGTGCTTCAGAATATTATGTCAGTGGACCATTCATTGCCATTTCAATCTGCCAGCGGACCATTCATAGCCATGTCAATCTGTCAGCGGACCATTCATTGCCATGTCAATCTGTCAGCGGACTATTCATTGCCATGTCAATCTGTCATCGGACCATTCCTTGCCATGTCAATCTGTCAGCGGACCATTCATTGCCATGTCATTCTGTCAGCGGACCATTCATTGCCATGTCAATCTGTCAGCGGACCATTCATTGCCATATCAATCTGTCAGCGGACCATTCATTGTCATGTGGTCACATTAGCTGTTCGTTATGTCGTGTTAATAGGAACATGACATATTAACTAAAAATATTGTTAATGAAAAATGGGATATTTAAAGAGATTGGTTTATGATTATGGAAAAGTCGCCATAAACTTAAATCAAGTTTATTTTTAAAAATAGTACGTTGTCATAAAATTTGTTTATTGAATATATTAACTTAGTGCATTTGTAGAAAATGGCTTGAAAAAATTTTATAGAAAGAATGGCTTAATGTGTGTTTAAAGCCATTAGTTTAAAGTGTGTTTATTGAAAAATAGGACTAATTAGAAATGAATTTTAAAGTATTTTGAATTCACATTGTGTGGTAAATTAACGTGTGTTACCAGTATATACACACCACTCTGACTCCCCCCACACCCCCAAAAGCAACGATTGATAAGATGGGGAAGACCCAAAAACATCTGGCTAAGAGAGGTAGTAATTAAGGTCGGAAAGAGTTGGGAACAAGTCACAGAAGATAGAAAGAGAAGCTAAAAAAAAAAAAAATAAAAAAATAAAAAATAAAAAAAAAAAAAAAAAAAAAAAAAAAAAAAAAAAAAAAAAAAAAAAAAAAAAAAAAAAAATAATAAAAAAAAAATAAGGAAAGACGAAGAAACCCCCCTCAACCTTCAATCAAACCATTTTATTCATCTTCACAAACCCTAATATAGTAAATGAAAAGAAAATATAATTAATTCTCAATTTTTACTTAAAACTTTATTTTTGTGTTCTTTTTGTGACAAGAAGTCAAAGTAAATTTTGGTGTATCTATTGCGTTATTAAGTAAAAAAAAAAAAAAACTTCTTCTGTTAACATAATTTAACAACTTTTGAACATATCGTATCAGTGGGTCACGACGCATGGGCAACTTTGTAAATAAAACATTGAAATCATATATATACTGTTATTTAAATGCAACCGAACTGCAAGTTTAAAGTACTGTACACACTGTATTCTATTTAAGCACTCTTTAAGTGAATTACCCATGCATACCGCTTGATTAATATTTATTTGATAATTCTGAATTCACAGATATTTCAGACTTGGCCCACTTGTCAAAAAGGGTCAAACATTCATCGCTAAGTGAATCTTCAAAATTTGAATATGGTAAGTGTACATTTCTCAGTACATTAAAAAAAAAAAAAAGAAAAGATAAATGAATATTGATTAATGAATTAATGCTATCAATTTTGATTACTATAACCTAACTTCTTATGAAGGATAATATTTATTTGATAATTCTGAATTCACAGATGTTTCAGACTTGTCCCATTTGACAAAAAGGGTCAAACATTCATCGCTAAGTGAATTTTCAAAATTTGAATATAGTAAGTGTACATTTCTCAGTACATTAAAAAAAAAAAAAAGAAAAGATAAATGAATATTGATTAATGAATTAATGCTATCAATTTTGATTACTATAACCTAACTTCTTATGAAGGCCTATTTCTTTCTTAAAAGTTAACCTTGATCATTATTCTGACGGAACAAAGAGGGAATCAAATTAAAAACGCAACTTTTACCGGCATTAACGATGTACAGTGTCGTTATAAAAATAATCAAAAAACAAAAAAACAAAAAAAAACAAAAAAAGATGAGAGCGATTAATCTGTCATCTACAGTTCATCTTCGCCTGTGTTATAGATATGGTAAGGTTTGAATTTTATTTCTTGTTTGCACCTTCAGTTTATCAGGATTTCTGCAGGACCACCTCTAGGTTTTAGCTTTGCATTTGGATTTAATTTTGTCTGCTTTAATTTTCTTGTACCGGGGTATTTATTTTAAAGAACTTATTAAAAACATAACATTCATATTTAAAAAAAAAAATAAATCTTAATGAGTTTCGATTTTTGAGCCACGAAATATTTTAATTTATTAAATAGTCCATATTGTATATAAATGGGGACATTTATATTTTCTCGGCTCTATAGGAAACATGGAGCCTGACAGGGTTGATCCTGGACAAAGAGAAAACTTCAAATTAACGTGTCCAAAAATAAAGGACCACGACAAGTTCATACCTATTGCGGAGTTCAAAAACGAAGACCTGCCGGTCGAATACCAGAGTACCGACCTGATTCAATCGGTGATGGCTCTCGCGGACCTCACGGTCAGAGTGCGTTGCAAGTACACGAGCAGCAGTCGTCCGAAAGTTCACCAGGCGAGCGGTACGGTTTATCCTTTCTACAGGGACCGAGGGAGAAACAACATCATCAGGACAGGCACTGGTCGCGTGTGGCACGTGATGATGCTAGAGAACAGCGGCGAGCCTTGTTCTTGTCATAGGTGCGAAGGAACCAAAACCAGACAAGGTCGGATCACCATACTCACGGCAACACACGTGGTTTTCAACTCGTCAGAAGCGAGAGCAACTTCCGTCGATTTCTTTTTTGACGACGAGAGTAGATCGTCTTGCGTCACTTTGAAAGCGGAAGAGGTCTACGTCGCCGATGCTGTAAGCGACAGGTGTTATTTTGACTGCTATACCTGTGACGTAGAACTGCTGCAAAAGTTAAGTAAAATATGGATCAAATGGCTGACCCTCTGCAAGACGGTTCGGGAGGAACATCAGAATTCGGAGGCTGAAATCAAACTTGCTATAATGGTGGCGCACCCTCACGGACTGCCTAAGCAGGTCTCTGTGGGGCGCTGGTTCGAAATCCAAGACAGCGTTGATTCCGTCCATTTTTACACGTACGATTGTCCCACATGCCCAGGAAGCAGCGGGGCGTACGTGTACACGCTCGCCCGACAAGGCTGGTGGTCAAATCATGTACATTCTGGTGCTAATCTCAGTTTGAACTACAGTGGCAGCGGGATTGACTGGGGCTGGTGCACAGTGGCTGCGTCAACAACTTGAAATATTTGTATACACATTATTTTTTTTTTAAAATGTATGTTCTATTTTTTTAGAATGTATGTTTAGTTCAATATAGCAAGCCATTTAATTCAAAGCGTACATGACACGAAAGTTTTTTGTTTTTTTCCATTTCTCTAATTGCTGCAACTTTTTATATTTACATCTGCCTTCAGATGTCTTTTTACGAGATCTTATTTTCACATACATTCCAATACATTAGTAAACGCCCCCCAATTGTATAGCCTTTTAATAAATGTTTTGTGCTTTTAAATTTTCCAAAACTCTTCGCGTGTTTTATATAACACAACATAATATATCTGTTTATTAATGAAGGGTGTTAATGAGTGCAAATATTTTTAGTTGGCCTGAAAAAAAAAAGCAAAACTAAATTAATTTTATTCTCTATTACACTGCCTGACAGAGAGTCATGCACATTAAAATTTAGAGTACCGGTGCAATAACTTAAAGTTATTTAGCACTGTTCTTATTGCCAATGTATTAAATATTTTTGGGGTGGAATTCCAATTGAATAGACTATACTATACAATTAATAGGATTACGTCACCATTAACAATCTTATATAAAAGAATCTTTTTAATGCAGTGCAACAAATATAGTTACTGAAGTGCAACAAATATAGTTACTGAAGTGCAAAAAATACAGTTACTGAAGTGCAACAAATATAGTTACTGAAGTGCAACAAATAGAGTTACTGAAGTGCAACAAATATAGTTACTGAAGTGCAACACATATAGTTACTGAAGTGCAACAAATAGAGTTACTGAAGTGCAACACATAATATAGTTACTGAAAATGTCATTTTTATAAAACCAAGTACCGGTACCATTAAATAAATAAAAGAGCGAGAAAGCACTTGAGAGTAGGCCACTATCAAACATTCCTGGAGTAAGTGAGAAAGGGTTAATTTTAAAGCTATCATATACCCGGTAATCAAACATTACGTGTAAATGTGTGAGAAATTTGGATTACCCGATTGATGCAGAATTTCAAACGTGGCTAGCGTTTTTATATATATTCCCTGGAATTCTTAAAAGGGAATTGCCAATTTTGTGGCTCGAAGAAAAAGGCCTGCCCTATATATCTATATCAAAAATTAGGGCAGGCGTTTATTCTGATCAATAACCTATATCTATATCACAAATGGTTATTGATCAGAATAAACGCTTTGCCTGGTACTGATAGAAATAAATCATTATAACTGGTATCCCGCCCACACCAATTCACAACACAAATGATTAACTCAGCGGAAAATATGTATTCATTTAATATGAAATGCACAGCAATGATAAGAATCATATGTTGTTGAACACATATTTTGATATACGATGAAACAAAAATAAATGCAGTTCAAACTTTTCATTAAATCTCCTGGATACTCTTTATTTAACATCGACACTTTACACCTTGAGGTTCATTGAGTTTCATTGAGTTTAAACAACAGAAATTCCATAAAATGGTTTGTGACTTATTAAAACGACTAAAAAAGATTTTCAGCTACATTACACAAATGCGACTGTGCATTTATGGGCTTATGATAGCTTTATCAGAAAGTCAAATACCTTTAACCAAATCAATGGCGCAGCCAGGTTTTAAAACTTGGGTAGTGAGGACTCACAAAGAACTCCAACTAAATAAGTTAAAATAACCAGATTCTAAATGCATTTGTTCCAATAATATATATATATATATATATATATATATATATATATATATATATATATATATATATAATATATATATAAATTAATAAAACTTTCAGTAGGTTTGGAAATAAATTAGTTAATAAAAAAAAAAGTAGTATGCTGAAAATCATTCGGTTTTTAATGTCAATACACAAACTTCTTTAGTCTAGGCTTCATTATTTCATAGTGATCATTTCCGTTTTATCGCACTGTCGATATTTCTTTCAATCACCCCACCATTAATTTCTCTCAACTTTCTGAACGACACTATCTTATACCTTTTAGCTAAAATGTTGCTATACTTTTTAAAATAATCATAGCCCCAATTTTTTACACACATATAATTTTGTAGTACGGTGTGTAAAGCCAATTTACGCTCTTACATTTAAAACAACTTTTAAGTAGCAAAAATTTTTTTAAAGAAAAAAAAAATCCATAAATTGTTATCAAACTGCCTTAATTAACGATTTCACACCAAAATAGTTTTGCACATACTTATACCAAATTGTATTACAGTCGAACCCGGTTATGTCGACGGCCTCGCGGTTTACCAAAAATCGTCGCGATAACCGATATAACCGAAAACCAATATAGCGGCAATACATTAACATGTGCTTCAAATTTCTTTATGTACAAGATGTGCATTTATGAATAAGAATGTACATGCACGTGTTTTTTTAGCTGTTTTTTTACACAACAGCGTTACCGCGATTGGTTAGATGAAGCGATCGGCATGCTATAAAAATTTAGGCCCCTACGACACAAGGCATATGTGGGGTGCCACCTTTCCAGATTATCTCGGAATTCCGGATTCGTGAGGCTAAATATTTTTCAACTCCGGATTCACGAGTTTTTATTTTTTTCTAGCTCCGGATTCACCAGATTATCATTTTCACACTTTTAAAACTCTTTAGAATTAGATGTATAATGGAAATTAAATATTTCCACCATGAGTTAGTTTGTGACAACGTATAATTAAGCAAATTTAAATAAAACCTTGAAAGCGTGGAAAAAATGGTTATTTAGATTCAAAGGCACAGCCAGTTTAAAGTGACACATTCTTTGGAAACATTACACATGATTAAATTTTAAAATATTTATTCCATGCTTCTGAATTTTACGATATTCCAGACTTGACCCACTTTTCAAAAAAGGGGGTTAAATTTTCAACACTAGGAGAAATTTAAAATTTGAATATGGAGAGTTTGAATATTTCAGTATTTTAAAATCTAAATAACACTCATTAAATCATAAGGGCTATTGTTATTCACTCTGTTTACCACATGCGTAGCACTGAACATGAATGTAGCTATTGAACATTTTAAAACAACAGAAGAAAGTGATTGCAAGTTATTTATTTCAACAAGCCTGATTAACCCAGCAAAAAATATATGTAATTCTTTAATGTGAATGTACAGCAACGATAACAATCATATATTGTTGAAAAAGTATTGTAATATACGATGAAAAAAAAGACAACGAAAAACCATAGGTAGCCAAAAACATTTCATCAAATTTTCTAAAGACATTTATTGCTTTAACAATGATACTTAACATGATGCGTTTTATTAAATTAAAACCAGGAAAATTCCGTAATATGGATTGTAGTTTATTAAAACGTAAAAAAATAGTCAACTATATTACACTCTACTTATTTTTCGACCAGATATTTTGCGTTTTTAGTAATTTTAGTCTGTACGCCCATCGGCTACTGAGATCTTTATCATAAAGTCAAATACGTTTTATCTAATCAGTGGTGTAGCCTGGTTTTGACAGTTGGGGCAGTGAGGACATACAAAGAAGGCCCACTAATTAAATTCATTTTATTTATGTAATTTATTCTTTTTTTGTTTTAAATTGCAACACTGAAAAATCCATAAGGTGGGAACAAAATGTAAAGTATTTTTAAAAAAAATTAACCTGAACAATTCTAGCTCGTGCGGGGATACTGATCTCCCATCGGCCCATCAAGCCCATCACCAGGTGGTGGATAGGGGAAAGCCCACCAGATATGGAGGGTACCAGGGAAATAAACTACCTGGGGTGGACCAAAATCAGAAATTCTAGTTGTTTAATTTCAATCTAATTTCATCAAGGCTTCAGTATTTACAAGTTATAATTTCTTTGCTATGATTCATGTCCCTGTCAACATTTCTTATGATCTTACAACCAGAGCCAGTGCAAAACGCTGGCATTTTTTAAGATTATTTCAACAATTTTTTTTTTTAATATCCATTGACCATGCACCAAGAAAAATCAATAGCTGTTTCAATATTTTTTTTCTTTATATTCACTTTTATGAAGACCTGTTCCCCTACTTTAAGCTCAGCACAAAATGTGATTGTTCCGCTTCCATAAAAAAAGCATAAACCTCTGTTTAGATCTTTATCAAGTTGACAACTGCTTTTGTTATGACTTTTAATGTCAATCCTATTATCGTCATCAAGGATCGAACTAATGCTAATCAAATATAAGCCATTAAATGGTATGGTAAATTGCCCAGATATTGAATTAAAGTGATGTCCAAAGTTACCATTAACGTTGGTAAAGTTTTTTAAAATATATTTCCCAACTTTGAGATCAAAATTGCCCCATGCATAGAATCCGACATTTGGAAGACGACATTTTGATTCTGTGAACAAGTAAAATTAAAATATTACAAAGGTTAATCAAAAATAATCTGAAATAATTCAAATACAAATGTTTTCAATAAAATCTAATTTTGTTGTCTTTTTCATAATCTTTAAATGATGTGGTAATTGGGAATCTAGGTTGAGACATGACTTGATTCCCAAACCTATGAATTTTCCGCAATTATTATTTTTTTTTTTTACAGACAGCTTTTACTAACTCTCCATGCCGCTGGTAAAAACCATGTTACATCAAAATGTCAATATAGGTTTGAAATGGACTGTTCTGGAAATTTGTGGACTGCAAATCACCAACATATATGACTTCAAATCTGGATTTATCGGTTGGAGTTGACTCCCTTATCCTTTAACAATATTTATTTTTAATCTGCAAGGCAGGATAAGTTTGTACATTGTCTTTTCATTTACTTATGTGAGCCATCTTTTGGGGCTGAAAAAGGCTCATTCATTAAAAATGTCAAAATTGCTTTCTAAAAAAAATTAAAATATTTTTTTATATTTTTAAATTGATTGGGTTTGAATTTCAGGCCACAAAAAGCCTATTTGTATGCAATGACTTGTTTTTAACATAGGCCTACATCACCACATAGAAAGCCAGATACCCAACTGCACATATTTAAAATAATTTATGCAAATGATTTTTCAGATCATTTGTATGCCATCTGCTTAAAGTTATAATCTACTTGTCAAAAGGAAATATTAAAAATGAATCTCTAATTTAAAAAAAAAAATCTGAAAGAACCAACAAAGTGTGATTTGTTGTCAAAATAATAAATAAATTATCTTTCATGACTAGCCTGCGAGGAGACTTTTTAAGATCCATTGACATTAAATTCTTCAATAATTTGTGAAAAATTATAGTTGATAATCAGTAAAGTTAAAATCCTTTCATTTGAACCACATATAACTAATTGCAATCACAGACTAGAGAAATTCCATTTTTGTTTCTGATTCTTGGTGAATGAACGATCTAACTGAGACACCACTTAATCTTGTTTGTCTTGTTCTTACTGAACTTATATACATTTACAATAAAAGCTGCTTATCCTTACTTGATTTCAATATTATCGATTGGCACCCTCATAATAGGACACTGACAGTTCCCAATTATCAATTCATAACATTTTATGACTTTCCTACCATTTGAAGAATACTATTTTTAAATGTTTTTTTAAAAAAATAAATTACTAAACCTTATGTTTGTATATGCTGCTAAATTCTGCATGAACTGAAAATTTATATTTGGAATTCTGACCTAAATGTTTAATCAAGACAGTTCAATAGACATCAAATTTCTTCATCTCAAAAAATATGAAGTGTTTTAATTCATCAACAATTTGTTAAGTCTTTAAAAAAATTAAATGTCATTGAAATTTATTTATTTTTTTTTCACCAGCTATGACTTAATTTTTATTTTTACTGGTATCATACATTCTGGTTCAAAGTAATATAAAAATAACCAATTTATTCCCACCTATTTGCTATTAAACAAAATTTAGCTCTAAGGCAATCAATATTTTGAATAATTAACGATGTAAGCAATTTTATTGCTGAGCTAAATTTACATTAAAAAATTAAAAAAAAATTAACTTACCAATTCGAACTGTTTTGTTAGATAAATCCATAAACTGGCTTTCAATTCTTTCCATCTATAAATGATGTATTTAGATACAAATGAATTTAATAAAAATTGAGACAAAAAAATTTTTAATTTTGAATGGAAAAAAAAAAAGACTTCGACAACTGATTATGTAAAGCCTGGTCTTCTATTTAATCTATCATACAATTCTGTTAATGGCTTGTTACGTGAGAATTTTCGTTTATATTGAAAAGCTTGGTTTGTTTAGTTAGTGAGTTTTTTGTGTCAGAGATATATTTAGATACTGTTGCTATGTTTTTGGTCAATACATTTTGTATATGACAGACAAATTTGTTGGTTATTATGAATCAGCACAATAGATATATTGAAAGAAGGGCATCTTTTTGTCATTTAAATGAAATATCTTTTTATTCCTTTGCCTTCAATTTGTTAAACAAATAGCTGTAACACAAAATATTTCTAAAGACTATTATACAATAATGTATTTAAAAGGAGCAAACATTTGTTTGAAAAATCTGGTGCGCTTCTTTTGAACCTTCAAATCTGTTAACAAGTTTATTGGGGCAAAAAATGAAATTTTATAATTTTAAAAGAGAAATAGAAAGTGTTGAATCACATGATATATGTTTTTTTATGTTATTTAAAAACCACATATTATAAAGTATTTTTTGGGGCTTAATTAACAATTAAACATTTATATCAGACTGTCTTTAATGTTAGCTAATGTACTGTTGATCAAATCCAAAAGTTTAAATTTCAACATATTATAAAATTACCTGTAACAATAGTGGAATTTTTGTAGTGGAAATCTTGTTCAGAGCGTCTCTTAAGTTTTCAATTGGATTCAATCTTTTAGCGACAAGATGACAAACCACACCAATCTGAAAAACATGCAAATTGTATTAAATCTCCAACAAAGTCAATGAACTTTACATTGCCTTAAATGTAAAAATTTATCAAATTAGTAAATTTATAATAATAGTTATGTATTTGTTCCGTCAAAATTGATCAAGACCATTTTAATCATTGGATTCCTAATGAGTCTGATCGTATCGGTGGATGCACTGATTGATGACGAGACCCATATTTGCATGAAATGTCCTTGTACATAAAGTGCAAGGAATAGATGGGTATTTCCAGGTACAGAGTTAACTTTTCTGACTTGTTTGTGTGTGTGTGTGTGCTATGCAGCTGCTTTTTAGGTTGGCTTAATTTCGTAAGGAGCCGTGTGTAAAGAGGAATGAGGCGATGCTCATTCTTTTGCCAAATCTTCCAATGTGTCTAAATTTCTATCAAACGCTTTTAGCTTGTCTTTAAAGTTAAAAGCCTTCTGCTCAAAAGGCAAATTGCTTTCCAAAGAATTTAAATGTGTATATTTCCGTCTACTTTGCAGTAAGTCATATAGAGCTTAATGATAGAAACGTTTTAGATTAAATATGTTCTTGATTACCTGCATAAAGATATTGATTATTACTTTACACAATTAACATCTGCAAGATTTAGAAAAAAAGATAGATAAAACAAGGATTCCAAGTCTTACCAAATCATCAACTTTATCCTTATTGAGACTACTCATATTTTCAAATTGTTCTGTGTACTGAGATGACATGAGATTAATGGAGATTTCCAGTTGATTCATTTTATTAGACATTTCATTATAATGTTGATTTGTACTCTCGCCTCTCTTTGACAAATCTTGTATAGACATAAGGGCGTCACTGCTACAAGTTCTAACACAGCTGACCTGTTCATTGAGTTCATTCACTGAGACATTGATAGATTTATTTTTATCTTCTAATCTGTTTAACTTGACATCAACATTTGTTAAAGTTTCAAACAAATCATTAACATTTGAAGAAATTTCTTTGCTTTTTTTCTCAAGATCTTGAACTTCTTTTAGGATTTTTTTCTTAGCATTCAAATTTGTTTTGTTATAATTTTCAAATTTGCGTTGATATTTTCTTGCTCTGCTGAGACATCTTTTAATATTTTATCGACATTTTCTTGTTTTTTTTTAACTTGTTCTGTTGTCTTTTTAAGTGAGAATACAGCTTCCTCTAATATGGCAAATCTCATAATCAAATTATGAGAAGTATCAATTCCTTCTGCAACACCTGTAAGTAAATAAGAGTACCTAATTTCATATGAGTGTAAGCTTAAGGCTCATATTGACTGAAACACTGTGTGTTAAATTTGGGGGAAAAAATAGTTGGCGTTATGCTGATGATACCACCATCATTGGCTTATAATCTGAAGAGGAACGCTTTTACTGTAATTAGCTACAAGCTTTATCAGCTGGTGCAATTAACATTTTCTTCAGTTGAATGTAACAAAATCAAAATAAATTGTTGTCGCTTGCAGATCTAACAATAAATAATCACAGTATAGACCAAGTAGAGACATATAAGTACCTAGGTGTAACCATTAATAATAAGCTGGTATGGCATGAACACTGTTAAATTCTATACCATACAAAAAAGTCAACAACTTTTTAAAAATTTTGTTCTTTACAATTTTGGTGAAAATAAACATGTAACCGGTATTAACATATTCTACAGTTGAACAAATTGAAGCCTTCTTAGGTTCAATATTATTTGCTGGTGTTGGAATCCATGTAAGGAAATATTTAAAGAAAAAAAAAATGCTGTTGTAAAAATAAACATGTTTTGGATGATGCATCCCATCAACTTATTTATAAAATTCTATATTTCCTCAGTCGGTATGAATTTACCAGCATACTCCCCCAGTGGTTACCAAATGTAAATGATCACTAATAAAGTTATTCTTGTCACTCAAGGAGATTATTTGAATATTTGCAATGTAATCAAAACACATTTCCATTGATTTGGATGAATAAAGACTTTTATCTCATCTACTAATGCCAACTGTAGTTATCTTAAACCTTTCAGTGTTTTTCATTAAAATAATTTTGATATTTTAAATGATTAAAAAAAAATTATGTTTTTCATCATAAGCACTTTGCAATGAAAAGTAGCTGAATAAAAAAAGGGGAGTTTGTAGAATCAATGATGTCTTACTGGGACATGAAAATAATTTTTTTTCAAATTCACATAATATATAGGCCTAATAAGCTTTAATAGGTAGTGGTTTATTTTAGATGAGATCACCTTCTCTATCACACAAAATGCCATAGTTAGTGTGAATGCAGCATCAGATAGGCCTATGTGTGACATAATATAAAGATAAATGGTACTTGGAGTTGGGATAACTACCATATGTAATGTTTTAATTAGAGATAATAATATTTTAACTGTTGCATTACTTGTTTTTTCATTTGCTTCGTTTGGAACTTCTTTTCTCCTAATCATCATATCTGAATTTTCTGTATCCAGTTTGTCTACTGTATTGCTAGTAGAATCAAGTGTGTTTGATAATGAATTTTGCTTCTGCTCATTACCCGATATTTTCTTCTGTAGACCTTGAGATAAGATATTTGATTAAAACATGAACATAATGTTATATATAAAAAAAATTAACTACATAAAAAAGTATTTAAAGAAAATTTGCTTTTAGAACAATATAATGAAAAGGTTTATTTTACAAATATTGATGAGAAAATTAATTAAAGCATTGGTTATAAGAAAAACTATATTAGAACCTTGGTACATTATTACAACAAGTTAGATTTAAAATTTTTAACTTTAATTTAAGTTTGCATAGTTAAGACACTTATGTTTACATCATATTTAATAAAGTAAGTTATAAGGATTTTGAAATTTTGTTGTTGATAAAAAAAACCACATACTTGAAAGATCCTCAGACTTCTCAATAAAAAAAAGTTGTAGCTTGTTGAATCCTGATTGAAATCTCTTCACACGTTGCCTTATTTACTTTTCCTCCACTAACCCAAGCATCTACTTCATTTTGTACCTAATTGTATGGAAATTTTTTTTAAAGATATTGTGAGGTGCTTCTAAATCTTGATAACTAAAATGATAACATAAGAAAAACTATAGCAATACAAATACAAAAGGTTGAGTACTTTGAATCTTTTTGATAAGAAATGTTGTTATAAATAGTAGTACCTGATTGATACAATCATCTGCAGCCATTTTAACTGTATCTCTCTCTTCTTTGAGTACCTCAAGTTGTTGATGGATGAATTTTACAAATCTCTGGGTTTTTTCTTTCTTGCTTGTCATATTGCTCAAAATATATAATTTTAGAGTTATTTAAAGTTTAAATATATTGATATTGTGGGCACAGTCGTACTAATTGACTATTAATTAAATTAATATATTAAGCCCAAAAAGTTTGTATAAAATAGCGAGTGTTATATTAATATTTATATCAGCAATTAATATTTTCAAAGATGGAACAAAATTTTTTTAATTTTTTATATGAAACACTTATCTTTCCTTAAAGCTAACTTCAGTAAAGTTTCAACGCATTATTCATTAAGATTTAAAATAATTTCAATTCTTACTGAATAATGAGTTGAAACTTCACTGAAGTTAGAATTAGATTAAAGGAAAGATAAGTGTTTCATATAAAAAATTAAATAATTTTTTTTTCTACCTAGGCCTACGTCAAAATTAATTAAGTTGTCATAAGACAGTAGAAGCAAGTCACACAATGACAATGAATGATACACTATCATCATTATCACTAGCAGTAGTAAAACACACAATCACATTCATCACTAGTAAATAAAGTGAAAATCGGGAAATTCCATTTAAAAAAAAAACTTCATTAAGTTGGCCTATCTCTCCACACAAAGCTAAATTACTTTTGGTTGGAATAATAATAATTGTATGATAATTATAAATAACATAATATATTATGATAATATTTGTATATCCTACCTATAGGCTACCTAAAAATAGAGGAAATGAATAAGAATGGGCACGTTTCCAACCAAAACAAAAATCAGAAAGAAGTTGTTGGAATACAATAATATAAAACAAAGCGGGGAAAAAACTAAGACAATTCAGCTCAGTAAAATTATGAATTCGGCTTGTACTTATAACGTTCGGCTACTCTTTTAACTTTTGGGTGCCGATGTGTGCTTTCCAATTAGGGAGGTGACTTCTAGCAATCTGGTCCCCAAGGCTGTTTTTCCCTAACACCCCTTTGAAATTCTCCCTATTACTCCGTGGACTTAGAAGCGCCAGAGGTTTGGAAACAATACTATTAAAGATTACAACTAGGTTCAATATTTAAATAATCCCTTTCAAAATGTGGCCCAAACTAATAGGACAGCCAGCAGCCCCTATCCCTCCTGCCCACTTTTGAGAGTTAAAATTATTGAATAATTATGTGTCGTAAAGCCCTTACAATCAGTGCTGCTATTAAGGATGTACAGACTTGTAAAAAAAAAACATTCCAAAAGTCATATAAATTTAGATTTGGGACTCGCAATAAACGCTGAGAGCTAACGTTACGTCATCTACATTTGACCTGCGCCTATATTATAGTTACTAGGGGTTAACAATTTTATTTTAATTATTCACCATTTAGTTTATCAGGAAAATTTCCATGACGACCTCTATCAGAAAATACGGTTGTTCACTTTAGAGTTGCATTTACTTTTGCCTGCTTTTATTAGGCGCATTTTTAAAAAGAACCTTTTAAAAACATGAAATTTATATTAAAACATATTATGGTTTTTATTTTTGAGACAACAAATATTTAAAAATGATTAAATAATCCATACTGCAAAACGTTATCTTTTCACGCCTCCAGGCAAAATGTAGCCTCACAGAACTGATCCAGGAATGGAAAACTTTAGGTTAGCGTGTGCCGAAATGAAGGACCACAACAAGTTCATACTCACTGTGGAATTTAAAAAATGAAAACTTTCAGTGGTACACCGACGTATCGGCCTGATTAAATCGGTGATGACCTAACTGTGAGAGTGCGTTAAAGGCACAAATCGTCCATAGGTTCATCAAGCGAGTACGTTGCCAAAGCTATATGCGATAGGTGTTATTTTTATTGCTACGTGGCCTCAGATATTTTAGGAGCTTAATAATGTAATATGGACATAGTATTTTTTTTTTAAATTGTCAAATTGAATACAAGGTGGGGGACAAAACTGAAGTGTGACATATGGCCTCAAAATTCAAGTTACAGCTGTGTTTGAATTGTTTGTGTCATACAAAAAAAATATCACTTATGTGAATTATGTGTATGGGAATGTGTGTGGGAAATATACTTGGACTTGGGAGAGAAAAGTTCTCCGGAAAATATATGGACCAACAAAAGATGAATATGGATGGAGAATACGAACCAGCAAGGAATTGCAGATTATCAGAGTAACAAAAAAAAAAAATGTTTGGTGAAAGGTCTATACACTGTTATGAGTTTTCAAAGCTGGTTAATTTCATGAATCGTATAAGAACGATACAGTTATGTTAAGAAAACATGAGATGTTACAAAAGGCATAATATATTTATTAATGTGTGATTTTATCTGAGGGAAATCTCATAAGGATGAATTATAAATTTCCCAATATTCAGTTGAAGTTTCAAACTGCTTTAACTTGCTTCAGATCAATTAAAAATTGCCTCTTCGATGATATATACGGCAGTGCTAAGAATCATTTGCTGCTGAACATATTTTGTAACATCACGTGGGGAATAAAAGTAACAAAACATAGGCGGGCAAAATTTAATATTTCATCCATTTATTTTGTTACGTTTTCTGTAACAATGACACTTTACATACTAAGTTTAATGAATTTCTTTCAGGTGAAAATTTTGTTTTTATAATTTATTATTTTTAAAATATATTTGCATGAGTATAAGGTGGAAAGCAAAATATATAGTTTTTTTTTTCAAAAAGGAAAGCTAAATATCAATAATCTTTTAATTTCAATATACAATTTCCTATAATCCATCGCATTGTCAAAATTTAGTTCGTTCTTTTAAGGCAAGCGCATTTGCCCCACAACGACTTCCTCTAAATATTCTGATCGAAACTGTGCAAAGATATTTTCCAACTATCATGTTACGTTTAATCAACACCTTTGCTACTTGAAATATGCCTACTTGTAAAGGGTAACAATTCTCATTTAAATACATTCGAAGTTCGTGCCTGTATTCGTGTATGGGAAGCGATTTTAAAGAACAATATTTTTGGAACAATTAAAAAAAAAAAAAACACACAAAAAAACGCCTTTTTTGAAAAAAAAAGGAAACCAAAATATTGAGTTGTTCTTTATTTAAATGTCTTAGCGATTTAAAGAAAGAAAAACAATTTACACCTTATCTTTAAAAAAAAATATATATTAGTGCTATGTTCGAATTTTCCACACTGTTCCTATTGTGAATTATAAAAGAACGGATATAGTGACATGAAAATAAATTGCATTTCCTTTAGGAATTTAAAATATGTGCAAAGTTTGGTCTGTAACGGTCAAATATTTGTCAAAATAGACACAAACTATTTTTAAAAAAAACATATCCTTTTACCCATTTATCATACAGCAAGAAAACTCAACAATAATAGCGTCCTTATGTTTTTTCCGCAATGTCAATGTTATGTGAAACTGTTCCCCTTTTTTCAACTCAGCACAAAATGTGATTGTTTGATGCCCTAAGAATAGACACAATTCTGTACTTTCATGTTCATCAGGTTGACAACTTTTGATTTTAATCATGTTATCGAGTTGCGCGCTAATGCTAATCAAATACAAGCCATTAAATGGGGCGGTGAACTTCCCAGATGTTGAATCGAAGTGATCTCCGTAGTTACCACAAACATTGTAAAAATTTTCTAAATTATATTCCCCAACATTGAAATAAAATGAACTCCAGGCATAAAATCCGACATTTGGCAGACGACATTTTGATTCTGTGAACAAGTAAAATACAAAGATTACAAACCTGAATTACAATTAAATCTAATGCAAATTAAACCAGACCTTTTTGAGGAAAAAAAGACAAAGTTAGACTTGAAATGAATACTAAAAAATTAATATATTAGGGATTGCAAGTGACGGAGTTGTTCATTGTCTTCTTTATGAAAGACCTCTATTATTTCAAACATTTTTGTTTCCTACTTTAAAAAAAAGATGTGTTGTATAGTCGCCAATGACAATTCGCACCCGGAGTGGCTCCGTACATATTAAATGGCTTCGAAGCCGAATGTGATAACAATAATATTATGAGAATAATTTTTGAAATTGTTTTTTCTCCTTGTTTATTTGATTGATTCATAGTTTTATTATTTTTATTTTTGCTTTGTTAATTTCTCTTAGTACGGGTAGATTTTTTTCTTTTTTCTTTTCTTTTTTTAGTTTAAGCCATTTTCGGAGATCAATTATTATTTTGTTTTAATCTAGTAATGAAGATGATTTAGATACATTTATTGTTTTTATTTGAATTTTAGAAAAGTAATAATATTAATTTAATTATTAAAATTAAATCCTTTATTTAAGATTATTTATGTGTATTGTTTAAGTTAAAAGATTTAATCACACAGTACTTTATGAATTAATTAGGTATTCTAAATAATGAAAATTTCATTCATAATGAATTTATTTCAACTATTCCTCTAGAGAGCTTGGCTTAGTCAGAGCAAAACTACCAATTTTAAACCTTTTCCTTGGCACTGGGTGTCATACATGCGGACACTAACTTGAATCTCCTTTCAACAACCTTTCTCATTTGACTTGACCTAATTCACAAGGTAGTTGCAATAATGAACATCTTAAAGTTAAAGGATGCCATTGTATAAAGTATGAGAAGACTTATTTTTGGAGGACTAGTCTTTTTTTTTTTTACCATATCTGTCTGCTGGGTCTAACACACTGGTACATAATTTTTTTGTTTGGTTGTTAGTTATTTGAGTTGCGTACTCAAGTAATCCATAAAATAAATTAGGGGCCAGTATGGAGTAGGCAGCCATTAAACTCATTCAATTAGGTTACATCATTCCTTTGCCATTTGTCTCCTTTTACTTTCTCACCTTCCTTGTTGGTACCTGTACAGTTAACTATTGTTTGTACTGTATCATAATACTTCATTTAAGTACAGACGTAATGATTGAGTGGGAGCAAATATATGTGATCTGTGAAGGGAGTTTGGTTTCAAGGCAACTAAGTCATGCCACATTGAAAATAAAATACTCATAACCTAAATAAATAGAGCCATTGAAAAAAATACAGTACATACAAACCATACACAAACAGAAAGACAAAAATCCACTAAATTTTAAAAAAAATTTGTTGTGACTTTTATTGCAAAAAATTTAACATTTAATACCAATTTTGACTTTACGCAAAATGATAAAAAACAAATTTGTATTGCATTGTATTGTAAATTATTGTACTGTATTGTAAATGAAACTTGGCATACATATTAAGAATAACATTGACAAAAAGTTTAAAGAAGATTATTACACAGCAGTTATTGGAATTGTTACAAATGGCATGTATGTGGGGGTCACATAAATATTTGAGAACTCTTCAGGGGTAGCAAATGTAAAAATGTTATAAAACTTTCTAGTTGGATATATATATATAAAAAAAAA